AGGACGGTGCCTGGGCTGTGAGAAAGAGCTTTCTGCTCCTACCTCCGAGCCGGGAGCCCAAAATGGATGGCTTACCCACGCCGACTTCAGCTGTGTGACTGCAGACGTTCGATTCAGCAGAGCACGCTCCGGGTTTTTGACCCATCTGACTCCAAGCAAAGATAATTTAGCGCGAGCAGGGTGAGACAGATATTCCCGTGAGCACTGGGGAGGGGAACTGGGGCTGGGGGACCCAGCTTTTCCAAGTCTGATGGCTGGAGAGGCTGCGAGAGCAAACTGGACGTGCACAAAGCCGTGTCCTCCCTTCTCGTATGTGCCAGCCCCATCCAGGGAGGCTGTTGGGGGAAGAGAGGGTGACTTGGCCCACGGTGGCTGTCAGGACTAGTGCTGCGGCCCTGACGCTCACCCCGAAATTGGAAGCTTTGCTGGGGGACACCCCAACGGCTGACCAAGCGTCAGGCAGGGCGGCAGTGTGGGATTTCGGTCCTTCACACTCTCCCCGCACACTGCGTTAGCCTAGGGCTGAAATTCAGCTTCAGACTCGCGTTGGCTTCTATCTCCTGTTTTTATATGCAACCCACTTGCCAAAATACCCCGAGCACAGAGCGACTTGGAGGGAAAAGTACAGGACATGGAGACAAATGCTCAGCGTCGCTGGCACAGGGAGCTCATTTTCCCTTGATTCCTTGACATTGCAATTGATGCATGGCTTAATGGACTTCCCTGCTACTGCCAGTTTCCTGTTAAAATTACTCCCAATTACGGTGAACATTTAACTTTAGGCACAAGCAGAACTGCAAGCAACTCCATTTTGTACATCATATTTTTGTTAAGCTTCTAACCTCTGCTGCAATTTTTGCTTCATAAAACAAGGAGAGTTTCAGGGGGCCTGCAGACTGCCAACGGTTACAGGGACTGCAGCAGGACAGACTTTTTTGCATTATAACGCTAGGGAGTAAGATTTCCAGCTATGATTCTTATTTTCATTTATCCTCATTTTGCATTGGTAATGGGGACATGCTAAAAGCTGCTTTTACGGACTGGGCAAGCCTAGAGCAGAAACGGTGCCTGTTGCTCCCACCTACTCTGGTGCTTCTGCTGAAGAAGTCGGGGAGTCAGGTCCCTTATTTTCAATTCTCCGTTTCTCTTCCTTTTTAAGTCCTCTTATATAATTAAGAGGTGAACCTGGCAGACAGCATCCAGCTAATAGAGATATGATTAATTTTCATTTTCCCTTTTGATTGTAAAGGTTGTCCTTTCCAATGCAAAAAGCTTCATCGCAGATGGATGGGAAACCTGCCAGCCAGCCACATTTTTGAGGTAAAAGGGGACAAGACATGGGAAAGTTTAGCGCTTTGAAAAAGTGACCTTTCTTGGTAATTAATTTGTCACTTCCCAACACCATCTGCTGACTCGTCAGCTGCATCCATCATAACCATGCAAAAAATACTGGAAAAGTCAATTAAAATGAGAATCGGTGTCAAACGGGCTTTGCGCAGATTCTTCAGCAAAGGGAGGGGCGGGGGGGAAAAATAACCTGACGTGTAACGTCCTTTTCATCACCACACACACGTGTGGTCCCAAGGAGAAAAACTATGTTGACCTTTCTGGAGGTTTTATAGCTGGGACCACTTCACTGCCTGGTGATAAGCCGCAGCAAATGCGCAGGGATCTGGGAAACATCTCCGTGCCTGCCGCGGGTTTTTAGGGAGGGGTTTGGCCCAAATCGAGCGTTATTGACTGCAGCGACAGCAGCGCGTCCCTTGCGAGGACCGACGCGCAGCGCAGTGTGTACACGCCGTATTGACTAGCTGTGATGGAGGCAGGTGAGAAAAGGCATTTTATGGGCTTGGGCAATAGCTCTTCTCCTCTTGTCTCCAGCAAACACTGCCAGTGCTCAGCTTTCAACTAATGCACAGCCCTGCTGTAACACCCCGTAAAGCCATTTGATGCAGGAGGGTTTCATGGCTTCCCCAACTCATTTTTCCCTCTTTCATCTCCCCTGGTTGCTCTCAGGTTTCCTCGTGTGTAGCCCATCCGTGAGAAGCACCAGGAGGTTTCTGGCCGGATCCCAAAGGCTCCAGCATCAGCGCCGGTCTGATGCTCTCGAGAGGCCAAAGATGAGATCTTACGCAAGTCACTTGCTCTTTCTGCACCTCATTTGTCTGGAGAGAGATGTCAGGGCAGAGTTCTGTGTCCCCGAGGGGGCTCAGGTGCTCAGTTATGATGGTAAAAGGGTCCACACGAAGCGTCAAAAGGGACAGATAAATCCCCCGGACTGCTTTGATATCTCCCCACTGGTCTACTCAGTTTATAAAGCTCTTTGGTGATAGATTTAGCATGTATAGTTTTATTTATTATTTTAATATGTAGTTCTAGATCCTGCCAGGGGATTTATTACCTTAAATCTATGTTTTTTTATAATGCTGGTGGGTCAAACTTCATTCTGCATTATGCTTATTTTGTGGCATCATTGTTATTATTGTGATTTATCCATGTTACAGTAGAAATATAATTGAGACACAGCATCGTTTTACTGCTGGTACATTTGCATAGTAAAGTTTTATCCTGGAGGGCTCATGATATAAAAGACAAGCTGGGAGAGGGGAATTTCTCCATCTCATAGATGGGGAAACCGAGGCAGCGAGCGATCTGCCTTTTAGGTGACCTGGCCAGAACAGCTGCCAGCCTGACAACAGAAGCCTGGGGAGGGAGGAAAGGGGATCTTCCTGGAAACCAGCAACTCCTAAAAATCCAATGCAGATAACAGCGTTCCCTGTCCGGCAAACCCGTTTCCATGCACGCCAGGTAGCCGCTCATCAGCTCCGCTGGAAGCGTGGGCACCTGCGCAGGTAAGCAGTTGCACACCGGTGCCTGGGTGTATATATAAAGGGTGGGAAAGCCAGCAGGAGCACCCGGGTGTGAACAGGAGCAAGAAGAGGTCTGACCTCCAGCATCCCGTGGCTGCACTCACCAGGTAGGTGCTTGATCTCTGCTCCCGTGTGGGAGCTCGGTGGGGTGGGTAACTTCATGGGTGCTCGATAGGTGCTGGTGTTACCAGCACGTGTTGGCTTCAGCAGAGAGAGCTCTGACAAGAAAGAAGAAACAAAATCAATGCTTAAACAAGGGGAAAGGTGCTTTCTGTTCATCCCCCATTGCAGAGCATCGATTCCACCAGCTCCTGCCTCCCTACTTGGTGCGAGCACCCAGTAGACACCAAAGCGTGCTGCAGAGGCACAGGGAGCCCTGGGTGCCCTCTGCACTCGGGAGCTGCTTTGAGCAGACAGAAGATGAGTCACAGACAGTTCCTGTCAACAGTAACGATTTGATTTTTTTTTTTGGAAGACAGCTTGGTAGATAAACGCACTCTCTTGTCACTGTGCTCACACCAGTACCAGGTGGATGTTCACCCCTCCTGCCCCCAAATCGGCACTTCATCCCATTTTACGCAGGCATAAGCGCAGCTCGGCAACGCTGCACCCAGCCCCATGCGACCGCAGGACTTTGTTGTGCTGATGCTGAACTCAGGATGTTCCTGCTTTGTGCTTTCTCTTTGTAGCTGTGGAAGCAAATTTACTAACAGCAAAGTACATATCTGCCTGGAGAGGCATTGAACGAGAGATCTTGCGTCTGAAAGACATGTCCTGCTTACGAAATAAGGAAGGGACATTAGAAAAACCATTTTTTGAGTGGAGTAATGTGTGGGGGTGTTTCTCCGGGGAAAGAGGGAGAGAATCAATTCACAAAGGGATAGTCAATAAGAGATGAAGAAGGTGACTGGCTTTATTTCTTTGTATATGGCAGTATTTTATTGTGGTGATAGAATAAATGAAAAGGCACAAAAAATTGATGTTACCGAGATAATACAGCGTTATCAGCACATATGCATATCAACATGCTGTATTACAAGGGGAGAGCCTGAGAAATTCTCCTGATCGCTGCAGCAGACGGTACATCTGGCTGGGTCACCCGGGACGATGTGCCAGTGCAGCGGACAGCGTGGGTGGGCAGTGGAAGATGGCACCGGTGCTGTGCCGAGAGGAGAGGAGCGGAGAGGAGCGGAGCGACTGCTGCCCTCGCTCGCTGCCAGCCCTCCCCTGGCCTGGCACGCAGCGGAGGGATGTGACTGGCAAGTGCTGCGGAAAGGGAATATTTATTAACTTCCACTGGCCTTTGGTTCAATACTAGCTGATATTTATGGGAAATCTAATTTAGGGGTCAAATTTGACCTAACAATGTCTTTTCAATAACGTCCAAACCAAGAGGTTTCTGAAACTAATTAAGGATCAGGCTCCAATCAGGTAGAGTAGTTAAGCTGTGGGACCAGACTTCATTAAATTCGTCCAGAGAGAATATTTTAATATTTAAAGAGAACACTTAATGTTTACGTAAGTCCTCTTCTGACGTGAAGTCGCTGTTAAATCACTTCAGAAGGTAGTTTTTAAAGCCCTTTATACCAGGCTTTTATGGATCCAGGCTGGCACATGCCCTTCCCAGCTCTCTTGGATCAAATGAGGCTCATGAAAAGATTCAGTCCATCAAGGAAGGTTTTCAGGAGTGAGGAACAGGAAAACAAAATTTAACAAAACGGCTGTCTTAAGGTTTTCCTCTCTTACAGCATCATTCTGTCTCCCTTGTTGTCAGTGGGATTGATGGGAGCATTTTGCTCTGGATGTGCGCGGGTCTTAAACCAGTACAGCTGGAGGGCTAAAGCTTGCAGAACAGAGGGAGCCTCTACCAGTACTGAAGGGCTGCGCTTGAAGTCTCTGGAGATATTGCTCAAGAACAAATCTGTTTACAGAAAATGGTTTGAGAGGAGACTTGTCAGTCAAGGCACTTCTGTTCTCAGCTCAGAAGCAAGTGGAAGAGTAAATATACCCCTAGTTAGCTGGTGGACAAATTAGATTGCAGCTGATCAAAAGCCAAAGGGATTTCTTGTCAAACGGCCCACTCCACTGTCACCCTGGTATCTTCTTTCCTGTGTCATTCAGACTCTCGCAATGGTTTCAAAGAAGGTGGTGGCCACTTTGCTCTTTGTGTACGTGGTGTCCATGCTGGCTGAACAGACTGAAGGCTTTGTGCCCTTTTTCACCCAGAGTGACTTCCGGAAAATGCAGGTAACCCCGAGAAACATACTGCAAGGGCTGGAGCCCTGAATAATGCAGGAGATGTGTTTCTTCCTCCCTTATCCCCCAAGCTCTGGCAATTCACATCGTGCCACTGTCCTTCCCATCATCTGCCCCTTCTGGTCAAACAGGAGATACTAGGATATTGGCAATCCCTCACTCATCCCAAAGTGAAGGGCTCTGGGAGATAGCAGAGACCATTTTAAGATGTGAGACTAGAAAGGAAGCGTTTGGACTCTTCACATAAAAACTAAAGACCTGTGTGGGTTATCATCTGCAGCTAGTGGGTCTTGTTTTCCTTTCCTCCATGCCAGTGGCTGTAATTTTTATGGAGAAGCTGCAGCATCCCATCACCATACTGATGGGTCTTTTTGTTGTAACAAATAATTAACCATCCTCCAGATGGTTGTCACCTCTGGGATGTGCAGAGAGGAGAATGTTTTTTCTTTTGATGTGAAACTAATACTGTTGAAAGGTGTCAGGCAGGCAGCGTCAGAGACTGCATCTTCTTAAATGCAGCAGAAGTGAGCTTCCCCCGCATGACACAGCCCATTGATACCGGGCAGAAATCTTGTTTCCAACACCTATCCGCTTGCTGGATAGCAATTACGTTTTGTGGGGAGCACAATCATCCTTCAGCCTCATTGAGGAAGATGATGGGGACCCATGCACAGTCCCCAGATTGATTGTTCGTACGACACGACCCTTGTAACAATATGTCTGCTAGTGACTGAGGGTCTTCTAGATGTACGTGAGTGAAATCGGTCTGCCAAAGGCTGCCTCTCCTCTGAGCACCAATTCAAACCAAAGCAAGTGTACAGCAAGCAGCCAGTTTGACACTGAGCACAGCCTTTGCTCAATTTTACATGTTCTGTCTGTCATATCCCAAAGCAACTTCAGCTTTTCTCTTTGGGCTGAGAAGAAAGGGAGGATCCTGCAGGCAAGTTTAGCCCCATAAATGGGAAAGGACCGACATTACAGACCTGCAAGAAAGGCTGGCAATACTTAATGTCTGCACAGAGCTCTCCATTTGCAATGAGGTGGTACAGACTTTTATTAAATTTCATTGCCACTACTACAGAACAGAACCAGGGCTCTGCAATAACTCTGTAAGGTCACACACTTGGCTACCACATCCTGCTGACAGTGGTATCTTGCTCAGATCAAAGGAGTCATCTAGGAGTGTCATGTTTCCTACAGATCTTTACCTGCAATGCTGTGTAACCTGACTTTACACCCAACATTGCATCCTCTGTTGCATGTCAGAATTAGTCCCCAAGGCCATGCTGACCACAGCTGATGGGTCCCTTCCCAGTGAGCTGTGGCCCTGGGGAAGGATGCTGCACTGGCTCCAGGCAGCGGTTAGACCTCCAGGCTCTCTGGTTCTGTGCCCAGCTCCGCAGGCTCCTGGCTGCAGGGCATCACACTTGATATGGTGCAGAGCAGGTTTGGTATCCACACAATGCTGCATCCCGGCATCACTGCCCCGTTTGCTCTCTACTCTGAAGCTGCAGGAAAAGGAGAGGAACAAAGGTGGGCAGAAGAAATCCCTGACTTCGCTGCAGCAACTGGAAGAGGAAGGCTTCTCAGAGCAATCCGGTGCAGATGTCAACATGGTCAAGACAATCCAGGTATGTTGAACCACGCGACTCTAAGGAGCCTCCGAGGATGCACAGGAGGACAGGTATCCCACAGGGCCTTGGCTGCAGAGGAGTGTTTGGTGATGCTGCATGAAAAGACAGTGGGTGTTATCAGAGAACTCACAGTCAATATAAAGGAATACCACCCCTTTCCTGCCAGCCCAGCCAGGCAGCTGAGCAAGGTTGCATCAGAGAAAGGTTTTTACCTCCACCCTATAAATGAGCTTGGACAGAAAGCAGCCTGGTCACCCCTCAGACCCACCTGCCTTCTCCCTTAGTATGAGGAAGATGGAAACAATACGAGGTCTTTCTTAGCCATTCAGTGAACACAAGCCAACTGCAAGGCAGGAATTTGCAGCTCTGCTCCAGATCTGGGTTTAACTTGTCCCTTTTTCAGCTGCCTGGTGTCACCTCCAACCTCACAGGCCTCTGCGCTGGCAAGACCTTATTTATAGACTTGGGCCCATACAGCCGTACCCCCCCAAAGTCTGTATACAGAGCAGAAAATTGCCAATTTTTAGGGATTTAAGTGCCAGTCTAAGCCCTCAAGGGCAGGCTTACCTGGTTAGCCAAGCCTGAAAATTGTGCTTTTCCACTTGAATATGGGGAGCTCTTTGCCCTGTCCGTGCAGCTGCTCCTGCGGTGAGCTTGGCCATTCTCTCTGTCAGCTAAAGGATCGTGTAGGTCCACCCCCAACTGCAGGAGAGACTGAGCAGGACAGGCAGTGGGACTAGCTAGGCTGGAATTTGGCCAAGACATAGGTTAATGTGCAACTACTCTCACAAACGTGGTGCACCAACAATCAATAACAGGATTTAAACAGCAAGGATTCACAGTTCAAAGCATAAAATAACTGGCATATCCCACTGTCTAACACCCCCCATGCTGCAACCACAAGCCCTGCCGTGCCTCCAGCCATGACCAGAACAACTCTATCTGCTGCGGGTACATCTGAGCCACAGCTGGCTCAAAGTCAGTCGGTCTGGAGGCAGGATGATGTCTCATCCTCAGTCTTTAATAAGGCAGGGTGCTTCACCAGCATCAGTAAAGCTGATGGCTTGAAGGGTCAAGGTGTGAGATAGTGGAGGATTATAAGGTTCAGAAATTATTTTCTTCTTTACAGTCTCTGTTGCCAGGAGGTACCTTTATCTGTGTTTCTGAGTCAGCCCGTAGATGATCCAATGCGTGTAAACTTGGGCACTCTGAACAGCACAAGATTGCATTGACTTAAAAATGTTGCTTTTCCCCATATAAGTATCATCCTTTTCCCTTCAAGTCAGTTCTAGACCCTCTACTGACTTGAGCAAAGTGAGGTCAAAGCAGCTCAACCTGCCTCCCTCTGCTCCCCTCAGCATTTCCTTCTGACTTTTCCAGCTTCCACTACAGCTAGCTGTTCCCATCAAGGCTGGGATGTGGCTCACCCCAAGGCAGCTGGAAAAATACCAAGATGTCCTGGAGAAACTGCTAGCAGAGATGTTACAGGACACCCCAGACGGTACTGTCAGGAGGTTGATTTCTGCCTTGGGAATTCTGCCTTTCCCTCCTCTCACCAGCTCATCATCACAGAGATATTTATATTCCTCAGAAGGGCTTTTGTGTCATGTTTGCTCACTTTACAGAGTCCTCAGATACCCCACTTGCTCTCATTCTGGGAAGGTTATTCGCTCTCTCAGGGTGCTGTCTGTGCCCTAGAGCTGATATTGACTGTTAGTAGCGTTGCAACACTTCTCAGCAGCTCTCCTTCATGCCGCTTCCCACTTCCCTACTCCTCCTCCCCAAAATCCTCAGTCTTCAGGTGCAATTTCCAGCAGAGCTTATAACGCAAGCTACACCTGCGAGGCAGCTCAGCACCTGCAGCCAGACCTAACACCTTGCTCCCTCCACAGGGGCTCAACGCTAACAATTACAGCTAGAATTAGCTGCAATTCGAAGAGCTGAGTGTTAAAAAATCCAGTCCTGGGCTTTGCTCTTAGTGTATGGGAATCGCAGAAGAGAATATCCAGGGGTAGTATGTTACGCAGCTCTTCCTGCCTGCAGACTTGACGGGTGGTGGGATGGGTCTCACTAATGTTATCTCTGGACCTTTGTCTTATCTGGGGTTAAATGTCCCAAACAAGAGGGTCCCGTCTGTCCCTATGAGAGTTGTTATTCTGCGTTGGCTGTGCTGATTTCACTTTGCCTTCTAGGTCTTTAGTTGGGGAGCTGAGGAGGAAGAAACAATATATAAAGCCTAGGAAAGACTGAATGACAAATTTAAGGACACTTGTTCTTTCCTCTCTTTTTTTCCTAGCTGACTGATATCTGCAGAATCAGAGGAGAAAGTGATGTAGCCTGCTATAGCTAAAAGACTCCACTTATGTAAACAAAATCTGTAAAAGAGATTAACAACAAAATCTGAGGTGAGATAATAAAATGTGCAGTATAATTAAATGGAGGATTTGTGTCTTCTTTTGTGCATGCCTCTCAGCCAGATGGCAAGCAGCAAGTGTGGGAAAGGAGGGAGGGTTTCCAGTTCTAGAGAACGTCGCCGTCCTTCTGAGAAGTGCAAAGCATGTTGCAAAGCCTGAGTAATTAATCTTTGTCAACTAATAAGTTTTAGCCCTCCCTTTTGGCAATGAGGGAAACTGAGGCAAATATTTACAGGGTCTCCCAGCCAAACTGGCGACACAAGCGCAGGGTGAGGAGTGCTGGGTGGGGGACCCAGGCATCCCCAGCGGGCTCCCTGCTCCAGGCGCAGGAGGGCACTCTCTCCCATGCTGCTGGGAGAAAGCAGGAGCCCTGATTTGCAGTTCCTACCTCTGCTCTGAACCCCCTCTTACTCACCCAGGTGCTATAAATCTAAGTAACGTTGTGAGGAGCACCTCTCCATAGCTGCGATGCAAACAGGCACAGCGTGTGTGAAACAACGCAGAGCTCTGGCTTTATTTCTGCCTCTCAAACCAACCCAGAGGTGAAATCGTAATTCCACTTGAACATATTGCTCTCCATTTACATACCTTTGGCTTATTTTAGAGCTGCTCCTCTATATTGGCAGCAGGAAATCCAACATATGTAAAGTAAGGACGGATGAGATCAATGGTATGGATGTGAATATATCCAATTTCAATCCAATTTTATCCTCCCAACCTAACACAAATTCTGTTCTCACTGTGGCTCATTTAAATAGCTGTGTTTGTGCTAGAACAACACTCCTCGGTATGCTCTCTGCTGCAAGCCATGCCTTAGGAGAAAAGAAATCTCCCGATGTATAATGCAACATCCAGCATGGAGGGGATTCTAGCTTTAACATTTGATTCAAAGGCACACTCCTAGTCCATGGGCTGATCAGCTCAGTGTAACTCAAAGTTTGCAGGGATTATTGCTGAGGCAGGTTGAGCTATGAAATCACTATAAATGAGTCTGAGCAGCTGGAAGATAGAAAATAATACATTCCATTAGGCTCAAAGTGAAAGAAACTGCGTGTATTGCTGGGCTAGGAGCTCAGCCAGCACAAATCAGTCTGCAGCAGAGTGATATCCCTGGAAGATCTGGCACGGAAATCACCAGAGGAGCTGTACCACATCTGCACTGGTGTCCACCAAGATCGGAGACAAGACCATCTGCTTCAAAGGGGGCATGGCTGACTCGTTACTTCTGAAAGACCCAAACCTCTACCCCAGGTTTAATTTTGCCCTGCCACGGGAAAACAAGGAGAGTTTCCCCTTGAGGGGCAAACTGCTCCTAAAAACCCTACCTAAGCTCCACTGCAGGTCAGATCTCTCTCTATAGCATCCCCCAGCTCTTTCACTCAAGTGGTTTCCTGGGCTGACAGCTCCCCTGTGCCATCCAGGAAGGAACGTTGCCCAGTGACAGCAAGAAAGTGAATATCAGCCTCTTGGATTTGCTTCCTGGACTGTTTCCCACCATGGTGATGGTGGGGCTGATGCTGCGGAGACTTCTATAAGGAGATCCACCAATATGACTTTGTTGGGTTATCTCCCTCTACTCTTACATTTTGACATAGACAAGCTGCAGCAGCAAAGGTCTGCTTTTACCCTGGCCAATGTCTCTTCCCAGCTGACCCAGCTATAAATGAGTTCAGGGACACATGGCTGGTTGTGACAGTAACCATATGAACCCCTTCTCTTGTTCCGCAGCTACAACTGTGCTGTCCAAAGTGCAAGGGGGGCTTCAGTTTTTGGAAATAAATTCTTTCCAGCCTCAGGGGCTTGAGTAGTGGGAAAGAAGCAGGTATTTTCTGCTGGAAGGAGAAGATGGATGGATCCCAACCATCCTCCAGGCATGGCTCCCACTGTCAGGGCTGTAACTTTTGTTAAGAAGCAAAAAAGTCTCCAAGTTTCAGGACAGATCTGTATCCACAGTGCCCTGGAAGGCTGCTTTGGTAGCCAGCAGCACCAAAGTCCATGCTTGCTTGAGGCAGGAAGATCTCGCTGCTCTAGAAACCGAACAAGAGTTTCATGGCAGGATGAGCAGCCAAACGGTTGGAGGAAAGAGGCAGGGAAAGGAGGAGAGAAAAGAATGAAAGCAGCATTGACTTTCTAACCTAATAAGAAGCTCGTCAGGCTGAGGACATGACATATGATCAGGAGGATGAGAAGCGGTGTTCTTGGGTCACACCTGTGCCGCGGCTGTGAGTGACAGGGTGTTAAATTGGCGCAGTCGGCTCCCAAGTAAGATTTGACACTTCCCCTGGTGACATATGCAGGACTGTCGTCCAAATGCCACGGGATAAGAAGAGGGGGTGGGATGGCGGGTTTTTTTCAGCAGCCCCTCAGTCAAGGGTGGAATGGTTCATCTGCTGCCCGTGCTTTTCGGGGTGCAGCATGCTCCCCTCTTCAGGCATTCTGTGAAGATGGCGCAGGTCTATTTCTACCCCTCTGCTTACACCAGTCCTGTCTTGATACTTCAAGAGGAGAAGCAGACGGCATGGCACGCCTGCTCTTCCCATTCATTATCTGAGTCACTACCGGCAGGCCTAAGGCAGCTTCTGGGCTAGCAAGGAAAGTGGAGGCTGTCCCCTCCTCGCTGTCCCATCTTCCCACATCCAGCTCAGAATATTTACAGCCAGGATATTCGAGAGCTGCACCGTGGGCTGGGAAACTGGCTTTTCACAGCCGAGCATCGCTGAGCATCACAGCCCATCTGCAGCATCAGCAGGCCTGTGCTCGCCCCGGCAGCCTTTGCTGCTGCCCAGAGCTGTGGGGATGATGAAGGGGCTGCAAGATGCAGAAACTCCATCGTCAGCCTCATCATTGGCACTGCGGGCAGGGCGATGGGAGCAAATAGGTGCTTCTTCCTGGGGATATAGGTTCTGTCACGTCTGAGACAGAAGGCTGGCTTCTCCTGCTGCCTTCCCTCTGGTGTCCTGGTACCTTCTGGGAAGGTAGGGATGCTCCCAAGGGTTGCCTTGCCAGGGAGGAAGGGGCAGGGGCCGTGGATTTCCCTGCACAAAGGCATCTGTTCCTACTGAGCATCAGCGCCGCCAACCTCCCTTCTGCGCAGGAATGGCAGCTGTTCCCCAGCCCTCCAGTTCTTGAACCCCACTCCCATGTTCTCCACTCTGACAGTCACGCCATGAGGCTGCTGGGCCAAACTCTGTCCTGGTGTAGCTTCCCTGACATCCAGAAACACCAGAAGTTGAAGGGTTGGGGGATTTTTTTTTGTTGTTGCTGTTGTGCTTTTTTTCCAAAGCAAGAAGAGTTCACTTAATTCATGAGTTTGTGTCAGCTCAGGCTTAGATGCCAGCATGCATCTGCACGTCTAGGCAGAGCTTCTCCAAACTGAAAGTTGTGAGCTTACAAAAACCGTGTACTAAGAGCATATTCTAATTCTGTATTTACATTAGACACCGCTCCCGATTATTAGCTGTCAGTTGTGCTTTCCAGTTAGTAAGCAGGCAAGGCTCGGCTTCACACGTTCACACTTCCCATCGGAACCGAGGATGCTCTTTTAATGGGCTCCATGGCCTCTACTCAGGGTGTATCTGTTGTTGATAACCAGATTAACAAATCTCAGCACCTTGTTGCTGCTTTCTTCCCCAAATCAAGAGGAGTGAGGCGAGCTTTGCTCGATGCCCTATGCGAGAAGGGCATGGCAGCAAAGTGAGCGTGGAAGGACGGGGATCCCTGAAGAAACTTTCCACCGCTCTGGTATCACGCATCAAACATAAACCCAGAGATGCACCGCCTGCACGCATCCTGCACTACTTTTTCATCATCTTTAATTAAATTCTGATATTACGCCACAGTGTTTCAGCCACTTTCATTACTTTCTTTATAGGCGGCAGCAGGAAAAAGCAATTACTGTACATCACTGGCTTGCCAAAATAAATTTTCAAGTCGACGCTTGGTTTTGCCTTTTTAGGCTGCAAAGTATGCAAGGAACCTCCTTCCCCAGCAAATATCCGAGGACCCAGATCCTGATCCTGCCGAAAGCGATGGCAAAGCTCCAACCCGCCTGACGGGTGCCAGTTAAATGCCTGTAACTTGGCAGCCA